ATAGGAAAAGAATAGAGCGAGCTAATGTTAGAGGTAGGCCTGGGCGATAAAACGCTATCGATATTTATCGACGGTACACCTTCTTCGATAATGATAGAAAAAATGTTCGATATAGCACACGATATAGGCACGTGCTATGAGTGCACACAGACAGCACACACAAACACAAACACATGCTGTGATAAGTGCTGTGCCTGCCTGTGATGAGGAGATTGTGAATAAAGAATGAATATTAGTTGAATTTAAAGAGGTCATATGATGCGATTTAAATTTTTCCTTTCTCTTTGGAGTGTTACAAGCTCTTGGTGCATAAAGAAGATCTGTAAAGTTGCAAAGACTAAAGTCTCAAATCCAAAGAGAGATTCTTTATAAAAGTTAAGAGTCAACCACGCCTACCTAAAACTGCTCGTTCTAACACGCCCCCACATACCTACATCACTATCTGGGAAGAATTGCATAACGCCGCCCAAATGTTCATGCAAAGAATGGCGTAACTTTTATTGTTGCCGCCACCATGTAGTGCAGGCGCTGTGTGTTTTGTTGTGAAAGCGAAACTACTTTGTTTAGCCTTCCAAAAGAGGACGATATCTGCTTCATCATGCCTGGAGCTAATCCGTGCTGGTTGCTGAGGAAATACAACAATTTTGCGCTGTGGATTGCCGGATCGGCTTTCACCATGGACGAAGCGGAGTCCAGCCGGGGTCGTCACATGTGGTTGCCACAAGCCTCCTCCTTCTGATACTGTTATTTGAGTGCAGCCTTCGACACTATTGACCATGACATCCTCTTGAGCTGACTCAAATGTGTAGTAGGGGTTCAAGGCAAGGCATTACAGTGGTTCACCTCTTATTTATAGGGTAGGACTTTTTCAGTAAATGTCGGGTTGTTCACCTCACCTTCTGCGCCCATCCCTTATGGTGTTCCACAGGGTTATATTCTTGGCCCTTTATTGTTCTCGCTCTACATGCTTCCCCTAGGCTCCATTCTCCAGAAATATAATATCAACTATCACTGCTACGCTGACGACCTCCAACGTTACCTTCCAATTAAACTTGAAAATGACTCTTCTTTACAACATCTTTTCTCATGTTTTGAATTTGGATGGCTAATAATTTTTTGCAACTAAACACTGACAAAACTGAGGTGCTTCTGCTGCACTCAATAGTACTCTTACAAGTAGGTTAGGTTCCCTTAGTAACAACTTACAACATCATGTAAAAAATCTAGGGGTCTATTTCAATCCATTACTACAATTTGACAAGCATGTAAACACGGTTGTAAAGAGTAGCTTCTTCCACCTCAGATCTGTCGCAAAAGTAAAAATTTTTACTGATCCCTATCAAATTCAGAGTTGATTTTAAGATCCTTCTTTTTGTATACAAGGCATTGCAAAAGTCAGCTCCGGATTATATCTGTGATCTTATCCAGCCATATACAACCTCCAAGTCGTTAAGATCTTGTAACCAGCTTCTTTTATCTGCCCCTCGTTCTTGCTGTAAATCCAAAGGTGACCAAGCTTTCGCTGTTGCTGCCCCTAAACTCTGGAACAGTTTACCCCTCATTATCAGGGCCTGTCCATCACTCAATGTTTTTAAAGGGGTCATATGATGCGATTTCAATTTTTCCTTTCTCTTTGAAGTGTTACAAGCTCTTGGTGCATAAAGAAGATCTGTAAAGTTGCAAAGACTGAAGTCTCAAATCCAAAGAGATATTCTTTATAAAAGTTAAGAGTCAACCACGCCTACCTAAAACGGCTCTTTCTACCACGCCCCCACATGTCTACGTCACGATGTGGGAAGGTTTGCATAACGCCGCCCAAATGTTCATCTAAAGAAAGAACGCGTAACTTTTATTCTCGCTGTAGTATTGTTGCTGCCGCCATGTCGTGAAGACGCTGTATGTTTCGTTATGAAAGCGAAACTACTTTGTTTAGCCTTCCAAAAGAGGACTATATCCGCTTCGTCATGCCTAGAGCTGATCCGTGCTGGTCGCTGAGGAAATACATCAACTTCGCGCTGTGGACTGTCGATCGGCCTGGGGTCGTCACATGTGGTTGCTCCTTCGTCGAATCCGCCGACCGCCACTCGCTCTAGCCCGCCGCCGCTCACTCAAGGCCGCTGTGTTTCGTTGTAACAGTGGAACTACTTTGTTGGCCTTCCAAAAGAGAACAGAAATCAGTGGTTAAGTTGTATTTACAACACTGTTCCAGATATAATAGATATAAATATTCAAATGTGTGCAGCACATTTTTTGGAGGACTGTTTCCTGATCCTGGTAGAGTAGACTACAATGCCGGCTGTTTTGACTCACAGACTGTAAGTACGTTTTTATAAAGATTTTGCCTCTGACGATTCAAATGCGAGTTTTGAGCAGTGTAGAGTAGCGCTTGTTGTTTGTCATTTCTCTGATCACAAATGCAGACATGGTTTTATGTTTGCGCGATGCAATGCGTAAAAAGACAGTATAAGTCATTATAATCCGTAATTATGTCCCCACTGGATGCAACAAATGCCTCGTTTATTATGGGTTTTATTGGTTTTGTCTCGTTGCTCTGGCCGGACACGGCATCACAGTATGGTAAGGGGCGTAACATTTCGGTCACACGCTTGAGGTATTCGGCCAATCATAACGCACTGGATAGCTGGCCAATCACAGCACACCTCGCTTTTCAGACCGATGAGCTTTGTAAAAATCTACGCGTTTCAGAAAGGCGGGGCATAGAGGAGAAACAATAATGTACAGTATGTGGAAAATAATGTGTTTTTTTTTACCTTAAACCGCATAAACACATTTCATTACACCAAATACACAAAATATAGTTCTTTTTAGCAACATCATATGACCCCTTTAAATCAAATTTAAAGACAAATTTTTACACCCTTGCATTTGAGCGATGCTGTGTACGGTTCTTTGGATGTGTAGTTTTTTTTTGGTGTATATATACATATTTTTATTTCATATATTTATACGTATTTTTTTCTTTTAATTTTGATCTCTGTTGCTTCTTATCTAACCTTTTATTGTAAAGCACTTTGGATCAACAACGGTTGTGTTAAAGTTGTGCTCTATAAATAAAGTTTGACATGACTTGACTCTCAACCTATGTCTATAAAGCCTATAAAAAATAATGTCTTTCACAACACTTCGCATGTTATTCTTATTGTGAGGGTCATATTTTTAGGATTTTTTTACCCAAGTAAAGTCTCTGAAAATCTGACACCTTGTTCTTCTGGAGACTCCAGGTAGGTTGCTGTTTTGGAAAATGGTGGTGCTGGAGACTAAATGGTTCCTGATGGTTTCACATCTAATTCTTCACCTTAATTCTTAATTATTTTGCAGTTAGCATGTGTCTTTTCTTCACCTGTTTTTTTTCTAACTGTGCTGACCCAATGAGCATTTTGCTGTCCAATGGTCATGCCTTAACTTTGCAATTTCTGTATTGCATTAGTTTTGAACATTTATCTTGGGCATTTAATAATTTTTGACTTTTCAATCTGAGTTAAATCTCTTTTTGGACTCATTTTATCTGTAGAGGAAACCTGCCTAATAATTATGCACACCTGAATAGAAGATGTTTTTCACTTCTAGCCTTCATGGACAATTAAATATCACTTATAAATGATTAAATTCAAAATTAATAGTAGTTATTAAGATTGATGTGGTTTGGAATTGGTAAAATGTGCTTGGAAAAAAATATGATCAGAATATCATCTTGCCTAATAATTATGCACGCACTGTAGAGCTCTTAGTGACTGTTTTTTAAGATTATTCAGGTAATACTGTGCAATGCTAAAGTAAAGTAGCCATATGCATCATGCCTGAGTAAATGATGTTAGAGTTAATGGGGTCAGATCCTCTAAGGCCTCCTTTGAAGATTCTATTTATGGGAGTGTTACAGAGGAGAAGCTCTGAGGTACAATATTTCTACCTCGGGTTCACTGGAAGGTTAGCCAACGACCAAAATGTGGCTAATGAAACACATGCATTGTATGCATTCACAGTGGTTACAACTCGTACAATTCTTATTTGCTTTTCAAATTTTAACTTATGGAGTAAATGTCCAATGTGTTCTTTTACTCAGATCTTATCTGGTTGTTCAAATAGTGTAGTCAGTATCTCTTTCTTCAACATCAATTGTTACGCCACTCTATACTACAGGTGCATCTCAAATTAGAATGTCGTGGAAAAGTTCATTTATTTCAGTAATTCAACTCAAATTGTGAAACTCGTGTATTAAATAAATTCAATGCACACAGACTGAAGTAGTTTAAGTCTTTGGTTCTTTTAATTGTGATGATTTTGGCTCACATTTAACAAAAACCCACCAATTCACTATCTCAACAAATTAGAATACTTCATAAGACTAATAAAAACATTTTTAGTGAATTGTTGGCCTTCTGGAAAATATGTTTATTTACTGTACATGTACTCAATACTTGGTAGGGGCTCCTTTTGCTTTAATTACATCACTGCCCATAGATTCTCTATGGGGTTCAAGTCTGGTGAGTTTGCTGGCCAGTCAAGCACACCAACACCATGGTCATTTAACCAAATTTTGGTGCTTTTGGTAGTGTGGGCAGGCAATGAATGTTTGTGGCTTACCCTCCTTGTGAAGGGTGTCAATGATCAGGAAAACCTTTGCAGGTGTTTTGAGTTGATTAGCTGATTGGCATGTCACCATATTCTAATTTGTTGAGATAGTGAATTGGTGGGTTTTTGTTAAATGTGAGTCAAAATCATCACAATTAAAAGAACCAAAGACTTAAACTACTTCAGTCTGTGTGCATTGAATGTATTTACTACACAAGTTTCGAATGAGTTGAATTACTGAAATAAATGAACTTTTCCACGACATTCTAATTTATTGAGATGCACCTGTATACAAGAGTAGCATAACAACTGATATAGTAATATCGGATACTGACAACATTATTTTTATACTACTCTTTTATTGGCAATTTAATTAACAAAGTTGGCATGTAACCTGTTGTCCAATGTAGGTTCACCCAGAAAATGAAGAATGGACATGTTTTGAACAATCTGCCAGTCTGGACATCAAATCTTTCTTTGGTTTTGAGAGCACAGTGGAGAAGATCGCGATGAAACAGTATGCCAGCAGCATCAAAAAGGTGGGAAGCCACACTGCCTTTTTCAAAAACCATATACACACATGTTGGTTTATTTTTCAGTTAGCAATAGTTGATGATTTGCTAAATCCTAACTGTACCGGTAAATCTAACCCTTGCACAATTAGCTGATGTAGCAATTTATATGAGGACCACTTCAGATGTGGTCACATCAGTTTTTGGCATTTTTCACTATATTAGTTAAGGTAATTTCTAAATGTTCATGGCAATGTTATGTCCCAAGACGAAAATGTAGGAGCAATTCAATGAAAATGTCAACCTTACTGTAAAAATTGTTTTACAAAAAGAACAAAACCCTATTTAAGTTCTGCATTTAGGTCTGTATTTTACAACATGAATATGCTTTGATAGAAATTTAAAGGAAATCGCCATGTTTATCCACCACAAAAGAGGTACTGTGCACTGATAGTAAAATTTACATTTTCATCCAACTATATTTCATGTTTGCAAAAACAAGATCAAAGTCCACCCATTTTTTTTTTATTATATCAAAAGTAAGCATTTTGTAAAAAGATAAAGACCTGTCTGAAAAATAAATATTCTCTTTCCTAATAGCAATGATTTATGGATTTATAAGGACTAGATTTATGAAGTCATGATGCAAAAAGCAAATGATGTCCATTATAATAATGATCAACTCGTCTCCCTTCTCTGCACTGAACAGCCGTAATAACGTGTTAACAGACGTGACAGTTATGGATGCTTCATATTATATCATATGCATATGCTATATTTTATTTACACCTTTTATGTGTTACAAATAACTCTAGTCGCTAGCAGCACTTCAGGCATGCAGAGAGTCTGAGTCTGCATGTTGTTTGGTGTGACTCATGAGTTCTATATGCAAGAGATATTCTATTGTTTTACCTGACAAACATCATTCAAAAAAAAAAAAAAAAATGTATATTGCACATCTTGATTTGTTTTATTTAATAATATTGCAAGTTAAAATGTTTAATTCATTTTGTTGTGCAAATGCGACCTGAAACTACAGTCTCTTCGAATTAAGAAGTATTTTCTCACATTAAAAAAAATACAATAATACTGAGCATTCTTTTGTTTTGATCTACAGTGTAATAAAAGTTAAATATATAGAAAAAAAATATAGGCCTATGTGTGTGTGTATATCATAGACTGTATAAAAACATGGACGTAGTGTCCGTGACGTCACCCGTAGGTTTCCGAAGAGCATTTTTGAAGCCTAAAGTAGGCGGAGCCAGCCGTCGCCATCTTGGCCGCGCGTCACTCCCGGATAATCGAAAATGGGCAAAGAGAGAGCTGGTTGCTGAAACCACGCCCACTAGCTCGATGGTGGTGACAGCAGCGGCAATCCACCTGTCACTCAAGTGGCCGCGCCCTTAATTATGCAGAACTTTAAGGCTTAATATAATTTAAACGGATGAGTTACAGGAGGACTTTGAAGTCACAGTTGTCATGAAGGGCAAAATTAGCTATATAGACCAAAATCATATCTCTTCTTTGTGTGGGACAGGCAAGGAGGGCAATATTGTGAGATACCTCACTTCATGTTATCAGAGAACCTTGCGTGCAGTTTACTCACCCTCTTTGCTGTAGTAAGAGCGAGTAACACAGCAGTCTTTAAAGATACTTCAAGGAGATGCTCGAATGGGGCTTTAGAGAGCGCGTTCAGGACCATGGACAAATCCCAGGGCGGGACCAGCGGCTTTGATACTGGGTGTAACCGTCACGATCCTCTCATAAATTGGCAAACGAGAGGATGCTGGCCTATAGTACCAGAGTCAAGTCCTGTATGACATGCTGAGATAGCAGTCAAATAAGCCTTAACCATGGAAAAAGCTCTGCCTTTGTCCAGGAGGTCTTGCAAGAAACATAGCGTGTCCGAAATTGAACATAAATAAGGGACAACGTTTCTTTCTGTGCACCATGCTTCGAACACTTCCCATTTGAGATTGTATCAAGAGTGTGTGGACATGGCCCTCGTGTTCTGAATCATCTCAATGACCTTAGGAGGTAAACCAGCTGCATTTAATTCAACCTCTCACGGGCCAGGCCCAAAGAAGACAGCTTCTGTGGGGAGGGGTGGAATATCTCCCCCCGCCCTGGGGAGAGAAGATCCCTGCATGCTGGTAATGGCCATGGCTGGTCGCAGAGCAACCGTGCAATTTCCGCTACCCACAGTCTCCCCGGGGAGTATGGTGCTGTTAGAATTATCGTATGACCGTGCTTTCATACCCTCCGTAATGTCGGCTCGATTAGGCTTAACGGGGGGAACACATACATTGCATCTGGTCATTCGTGAGCTATAGCATCCACACCCAACGGTGCATCGTCGCCTGCTAGAGAGAAGAACAGGGGACATTGCGCTGGGACATTTACAGATCTACGGCAGCCCAACCGAATCTCTGCCATATCATCTGAACCACCTGGGGATGAAGTCTCCACTCCCCGTACAGTGGGTTCTCTTTGGACAGCAAATCTGCTCCCCTGTTCATCATTCCTGGGACATGCATCGTGCGCAACGACAGGAGGTTTGCTCTGCCCCACATTATCAGCTTCTTTACTAACATGTGAAGTTTGCAAGAGCGTAAGCCTCCCTGCCGGTTTATATAGGCTATCACCATTGTATTGTCCGTTCTGACCAATACATGATGATATTTGAGAAATTGCACAAAATGTCTCGGAGCCAGAAATACGGAGAGTAGCTCTAGAAAATGTATGTGCTCTTCCCTCAGTGCCGGAGCTCAAACTCCTCTCACTGTTCTGCCCTCGAACACAGCTCCCCAGCCCATGAGGGACGCATACGTCGTCGCCACTTTCCTTGAAACGACCGAACCCAGAGGACATCCTGTTCTGAGAATGACGAAACGCCTCGCACTCTTCTGACAAATGCTCGAAACGCCACTGAATTCAATCTGAGACCCAGGTAGCTTATTTCAAGTGAAGGGGTCAGACAGCTCTTTGTCTGGTTTATCTTGAAACCTTGTCTCTCCAGATGGGTGACCAGAGTATTTGTATCGACCACTGCTTAGTGCTTAGACGGTTCACACACAAGCAGTTCGTCTAGATAAGACTCTGACTCCCATATTTCTTAATGGAGTCAGAGCCCCTCTACACATTTGATAAAAATTCTCGAAGCTAGAGAAGAGGCCAAAGGGAATTTTCACCTTCTCGTATGCTGTATTTTGATATGCAAATCTCAGATATTTCCTGTGCGCAGGAAAGATATCAATGTGAAAATATGCATCCTGGAGATCTACTGGGGTGAACCAGTCTCCCTGACGAATATTTTGCCACAATGTTTTGAGTGAAAGCATTTTGACCTTGTGCTTTCTGAGGTGTTTGTTGAGGGCTCTTTCTTCCATTGGAGTTATTCTTATCACTCATTTTATCAGTAAGGAGGGTATTTCTTCCTCCAGAAAACGGGCTGACTCCCCCTGGGCCACTGACATTACCACACCATTGAACACCGGAGGTTTTACAGCAAACTGGAGTCTGTAGCCCCTGTCTATAGTGGCTAAAATCCAGAAACCGCGCATGTACGCCAGTTCATTACCTGGGCAGCGAGAGGGCCTTTCCCGTCTGCGCTCACTAGCGGTGTTGCGGCACCATCTAGCGGCGAAGGGAGGGAATTTCACTCCAGTAAAGGAGTTATATTAATCTTTTTTTGGACTGATTTTTTGTGATTTTTTTTTCCCATCCCACTGCGCCCGTAGCCCTCTATGGGATATCGTCATTTATAAATGACGCTAAGAAAATGGCATTTAAAATACAATATTAATGTTCAGCCAACAAAATTTTATTTTAGTGATGTCAAATGACATCCCCTTCAACCAGTAAAATAAAAAATGATTAGCCATGTGCTTCACATTTTTGGTAACTAAGTAGTAAAGGAGTGTAGCATCGGGACCAATCAGACACGCAATATATATTTTGTTAGCTATATTTTACAAATACTCTGTAACACCCCTCCGTTAACAAGCCATATGAGGACCTATGGACCCTTCCCCCGAAATGCGTCTTAACACCTCACCATGGCAACCAATGCTGATATCACTGGTTTTATTGCCCAAAGGATTGTGGGTAGAAGAAATCACTACCTTTTCCATAGGAAGAGAGACAATGCACAGTAAAAATGGACTCTTCTCTAATTAATTCATAGGAAAACCTTTCTTTGAATGAACACACATATCCTTCAGGTCATTGTGTATGTTGTCATTATATTGTATATTGTTTATGCATGCTTGTGATGGAACCACTCGTTTCTGTCATCTTACCTATATGTAATTCTACCATGTTTAGTATCTATGAATTCGTCTTCTGATGATCTGAACGAGAGTGGATATTATATGTTGGTACCTATGCAGCATATTAGTGTTCTAAGAATCTTTATTAGTTTGTGCATCAACACTCCCAAGCGAATTCCATTTGCAAATTACCATGCCCTCACACAAAGAGTCATAAAACCCTCCAGTAATTGCAACCTCCCGCTTGGGATTTCAGCCTTTCTCATTGGACAAGCCCATCTTGAGAGGCGTGAATCTTACGTCAGTGACCCGCCCCTAGTCGGTGGTTTGGTTAGATTCTAAGATGAAGACATGAGCTAGAACCTAATTCATTTAAATCATGAAACTTACACAATTTAACATCAATTTATTAAAAGTTTAACAAATATTACGTTTAGGGCCCTATGAAATGTTTTTTTTGTCCAACTTTGTTTTATTGTAACAATTCTGTTTTAGCATGTCTAATTTGAAAGCATAAAACAAGTTTATTTATTCTTACAATAGCCTTATGATTTTTTTGCTCAGAAATTCTGTGTTGTGTATTTACATTTTGTTTTAAGGCATAAAACATTCATTTAATCTATCTTTTAAGTAATGAAAATTAAACAAATGTAATTTTTTGGAAAATAAAGGTCATTTAATATTACAATTAAAACATTGAAGAAATATTGAATGCTTATTCCTTAAAAATAAGGTTTTAATAATTTGTAGTAGTAG